TTTGATTGACGTGCACAGAGAATGGGATTGTGATTGCACACACTAAATATTCTATTAATCCATGGTCTAAAAATAAGTGAATCAATTATCAGTATTTTGATTTTCAAGTGTTGAGTTGTTAAATCTACAATCATCTATAGTGAAATGAACAACAAGCAAATGAAAAATGACACAATTATGTGACAAATATAATTTTCTAATAAGCTGATGGGATGTAATACTAAACTATGTAACCCCCCCCCCCCCCCACAAAGAAAGTATAATCCAATAGTTTTTATAAATACATGCACTAAGTATACTGGTCTGCATCAATTATCAGATCAGGAAGCAAAAAAAAACATGCAGGGGGAACACACTGCTTGAACACATATTTTAAGCCAATCAAATGTTACACATTATGCGACAAGATTGGCAGACACACAGACAGCTATAAAGGTATATTAATGAGTGCATTTTTTACGAGCAGACTATATTCATAATCTGTGCTGATTAAATCAGGGTTACGGAGAGATTCTAAAATAGATTGAATGCTTACAACATCTTGGACGTCAAGGTCACAGCCGTGATATATGCACGCTTTAAGTGTTGTTGCATGACCATTGAGGGCAGCATAATGCAATGCTGTACGGCCGTTCTGTAAACCAACGCCAAAAACATATAAGGGATCATTTCAAAAAGCTTTTCTCAGTCATTCATTTAAGCAAAAAAAGGTGGAAATCACTTTTAAGTAATTCATGAGAAGGGACCCTGCAAGTCATAAGTTAGAAGTCATAGGTCAAGAGTTCAATAAGCAATTAATAATTGTTTCAAAAATATTTCAATACATTCAATATAAAAAATTGGGGAAAGGTTAAAATAGACAAATGTTTTGCAAAACATACAAATTTAGTAACACAAACTTCAGTTGATACTTAACTGAAAAATTGAATTATGGGCAACACAGATTTTGATTTTTGTTTAAATTGTACAAGTGTGCCCAGCGACTAAAAGGCAAAAGTTGCAACAAACGAGTTTACCACATGGTTAAAAATATATTACATTATGTGGAATTATTCGGTTAACTGTTCATTAAAGTTTGAGTTACTAAATGTGGACGTTAAACAAAAATAATAATTTATGTTGCCTGTAACTTGAAGTTTGGTTAACTGTTAACTGAATGTTGAGTTATAGTTATGCAAAAGTGGGTGTGCTTTCTAAAATAAGGGCATGGTCATTTTTGTAACTCAATGTTCGTAACTAGAACAACTCCGTATTTATAATATTATTTTATTCATCTTAAGATGATTGTTTTATTTCTTTCACTTTGTAGCATTTATTATAAAGATGGTTGGAATTTATGATGGTTTCAAACATTGGTTACTGTCTAATGAAACATTTGTCTTTGGACTCAATTTATTATTCGGGGACCAAGTCTCCAAATCAGTCGACTCAAATTGATTTCTCAATAAGGGGTTTTTATTATCTTGGCTGTCAGCTGACCTCAAATCACAAAATGATGATTTATGAGTTATGGGAAATATTTCATTATTAATGAGTTTACATATCATGCATTCGCATACCATTTCCTGTTGTAAGCTATTTGATTGGCGGGTTTACATACATAATGATATGATTTTTATGAACAATTTATGAACAGAATTAATGATGTATTTTACAGCCAAAATGTCATATAATTTATATTATTACATATGTACTGCAGTTTATTTTGATTCGTCCCTGAAATCAAAATCGGTATTTCCACAACCCATATGCAAATGAGGTCTGAGAGCAAACAAAGTAGTCCCTTCAGAAGTACAGATTTTCGAAATAAACAATATTTAGAAGTATGATATTGTCCCCTTAGGGTACATGAATATACTTGCCGAGTGAAATGAAATTTGAACAACAGTAGCGGTACTTTTAGGCAGTCACTTATTTTGGCCCAAACTAATTTGCATATCACCCATGCAATAATGTTTTCGGTATTTTCACGGTCGATATGCAAATGAACATGGTGTTTTCATTGGCTACTGAACTATTTTTATTTTGTAAACACATTTTCGTCTGCTATTTTTATCCAGTTCAAATCGTTCAACAACATTTTTGGCATGTCAGGTGTACATCACATGGAATACTACGATTGGGAGAACTTAATGTATGTTGACCACCTGGAAACTGAGTTTTATAAACCTTGAAGGGCTCTCAGAAGATCCACCAGCAGTAAAATCAGCGATTATTATGCAGTCGCAACCATCAGCATCGAGATACCAGGTTTCTGCTGGCGACGTTGCGGCGTTACTCAGTTCCAAATAAAAAATACCAACGCCAAAAGAGC